CGACCTTTCATGTGGTGACCAAGTGGGGCCCGGACCCTGCAAACGGAAGCATGCACGAGTAGGTTACGTACTTAACGCTATCGATTAGCACAACGACGAAAATCCGAGAGAGTGACTTGGTCCCCATCACGCCGTCCACGTCAGCATCCCCGGACTCTCGAGGGTCGAAAAGAACCGAGACCACCATTGATGACGTACTTTTGTTCCTGTCGAGGTTTTCTTGCTCGGGATTTGCATTAGTACGAGGTTGTTGGGTGGATATGTTGTTGTTGGGGTAGGGGGGTTTGGGATGGAGGATCCTCCGGTTTCTTGCCTTGTTTGTGGAGTTTTGGGGAGTTTCGACTTTAGATATGTTTGGGGAGGCTGGGATTATGGCTCCGGCTGCCGAGACGTCGAATTGGAAGACTTCCGTGCATACGCCGGAGCTTAACATTGGCCCTGAGGATAGTGAAAAGGACAATGTAAACAACACTGTACAACTAGAGATATATATACTGACATGTTGTCTTGTAATACAGATGTTCATTAGCCATGTTTGTCTCAGAAAAAAGAAATATGTGGTCATTTCTGTGTTTACATTTCCTCTGTTTTTAACCATGTGTGACTGGAATTGAGAAGATAAGAATAGTATTCGTTCCTTCTTACGAAAAATTGGCAGACAGACCAGATATGCCAATAACAATCAAAGTCATCGATTTCTGTTTTTAACCAACACAGCAAGTAATCATTGTCTATATAATACGAAGTTTCCTTATTGACTCCAAGAAAATCGATCATGCAGCAAAAATATTTGACTCCCATCACGAAACCATTGCCAAAAATATTTGACTCCAAAAATATTTGCAGCAAAAATCGATTATTACCTGCAAGGCCTTCACGAAACCATTGCTGAAGGCTCCCATCACTGGCGCTTGACTTCACACCACCATCCTCATCCCCCGAACCAGAGCCGAGAGCCCTTAACTGTACATGCCTAGCACCACCATTGATTCCCACACCATTAACACTTCTCGAAGAACCCAAATCCCTCGGGACTACAAGACCCGTCTCACTACCTCCCTTCCCATTAGACGAAGCCATTGCTTTCTCGCTCGCCAAAACCGAGTGAATAATCAAATTCCCATCTATCTTAACCATCCTATCATTTCTTGGCACATACAATGACGCAGCAAGTGATTGACTCCCATTTCCCGACGGAACAAATTCATCCCCCCCACTTTTTTCACCATACTCTGTCCCATTCACCGTCAAAACCCTCCCACGATATCTCATATAGCCATCTCCACTAGTAAACACCTCCCTAAAACCACCGTACCGCACGTTGAAAATCGGCAAAAGCCCACCGAACAACATTATGAAAAACAGCAGACCCAAGAAACTAACACTCGCTACCTTCTTCGTCTTTGGCCCCTCGTTTTTCCTGCTCTCCGATGATTTCTTGCTCGGTTTTGCTGGCTGAAGCTTCGTCTTCAACCTCGGGATGGGAACCAGAGGCACTTGCGAACCTTGCGGTTTCACCATGAAAGGCGGCGGTGAGCAGGGCATCCATGGGTACATCATTGCTGGATGATGAGGGTATGCTCCGGGAGGCAGTGGGGCCGCCGGAGCTCCAGCGACAGCACCAACACCACAGCCCATTTGCTGGCGAAGAGTCGCGTTTTCAGCCATGAAGTAGGTGATTTTACCGTTCAGGTCTTGAATGGTTGAGTGCATGGCCCTTACCTTCTCCTCCAACTCCTCCACGTAATGCTTCTTCCTCTGTCGGGATAATTGGGCACTCTCTCGATTTCTCAGCAATCGAGCCTTCCTTTTTTCTTCATCTTCACTGAAAACTCCATTACTGTTGTCACTAGTATTGTTATTCTCTACACTGCAGCTAGATTTCCTATACTTGTTAGTCCTAAACTCAATGTTATTGTTAGTATTCGACAAATCTTCGCTGTCGATTTTCCTTTTCAGGGAAGAAATAGTACAGTTAGCATTAGCAGGCTCCTCTAATTTAATCTTCTGATCAACAACGCCGGTCTTAATTGAACAATTGCTTGAATCGGGGGAACAACTTACAGATCGGGTCGGGGAATTATCTGCGGAGACATTGGAGGCAAAATCACCGGAACCCTCGTATTCAGGCGAATTGCATTTTAATACCTTCTCATCGGCGGCTCCGCTGCAATTCTCAGCACTCGCGCGATTCGATCCGTTCGATTCCGGCGACGGCATGTTCAGATAAGCGGAAATCTGCTGAGACTCCATCTCCGGTGAGGAGGAACTCAGAACGCCGGAAGGTCCTGAACCCTCCCAGCTCCGATCGCCGTGAAAATCGCCGTCCTCATGAAGATGACTCAATTCCCGAGACGCCGATTTGAATACCGAGTGGAATCGGTCGAAATTCGGTGAGAATTGGGCGGAATCGTGAGGGTCCGATCCCGATTGGGAATCGGGTTGCCGCATTGGCTCGAGGAGGATGTCAAGGTCGTCGGAGGTGGGGAGGCAGAAGTCGTCGAAGGAGAAATCGAAATCAAGGCCCTCGAGGACCCCGCCGCCGGCGATCAGGAGGTTCTCGTCGAAGAAGTCGGCGTCGAGGGGCGGGTTGTGGAGGCAGGGGTCGAATTCTCCGGTGGGGCACGGCGGAGAGTGGGGAGGCGGCTGTGGATCGACGGCGACGGCCGCCGGCTCAGCCATTTTGTTCACAGCTTTTTTGTGGGAATCGTTGTGCAGAGGACGTTTGGGCTTTTTGAATGGAGAATTTTTTATCTTCACGGGTTTTTTGAAGGGGAAAACTGAGAAGAGACTCAGGAAGAAGAGTGTAATTTGTAACGAGTAACGACTGTGACGATGTTATGCTGCACGCGCTAACCGGAGAGTGTGTACACGCTCCCTCAACTGACTGCCCGTTTTGGAATTAGTCAAGAGTGTAGGGGTTGAAATGAGATTTTCATAATTTTATTGCCTGTTTTCTTTTGGGGGGAAAGGACAACGTTGGCTTAGATTAGTAGGTTACCACTATTAATTAAAGAATAATAGCCAAATAGCCAATGGATTTTTCTTTTTGGATTTCAATTTATTGTATGGTTTTGATTTATGTAGAAATAAAATACAATAGCAAACAATTAGTCTTTCACATTACATAAATATAGATTTTTTATATATAGTTTTGAAGTTCATTAAATTATTATTCGGTATTCTTTAATACATTATATATATAATATTTTTGTTTGTAATTCTTGTCGTTATGATTATGTAATTTATTAAATACCAATATATTTTGATAATTATATCAATTTGGGGAATTTATATAATTTGAATCCAATAATTTTGATACAAGTGACCTTTAAATTATTAAAAAAAAATGATGAATTTCTAACAAGACAACTAAGAGATTAATAGCCTTATCTCCAAAAATCCCATGAGATTTTATGTTGGAGGTTTACAAAAATAGCATCATTTTTCAAAATGGCAAACTGTTTTTATATGTTGGAGTTGAATTATATTTACAAGAGTACGTTATTGAATTATAATCACATCACGTAAATCCCTTAACAGGATACTTATTAGCCTTAATTGGACACACTAATTACAAGAATCTTTTTGTCTTTTTCTGAATCTTTCTTCTAATTGGACGTTGGGAGATTTTCTTTTCTACTTTGATGATTTTACAAAATTACGAAATAGCATAAAGTCAATAAAATAGATACGAAATTTATACTTATGGGAAAAATAATCTTTGACTATATAAATGTTGCCTAGAATTATTTATTTTGCTGTAAATATTTTCCACAACTGCAAAACTTTAGGCCAAAATTCCGACATATTTTTGCAAGTTTTATTCTAAGCGCGTGAAATACCAAAATTCTAAAGGTGTCGGGTGGAAAATACAGCCCAATTTGTTGTAGGGTTTATCCCGAAAGTACCTTTTGCACTTAAACCTCAAAAAATTGTTGACTTTGTAGTTACGAAAACTTGACTTTGGCGTGTGTTTTCTCCTACACAGGCCATCAACCAACTTTGTCCCCATCTTCTTTATCCTCAACTTTCTTTTTTCTTTCCTTTTTTTTTTCCAGTTCAGGGCTCGTGATATAATTATGCAAAGATTAGGGGTTGATTTTGCTTATCTTCAACTACTCTATCTTCATTTCTTTTTGACTAGACTCATTTATCAATTAGTGCTAATAGCTTAGGAAATTGAGTGCAATCTATATAGACTTCAGGGAATTTCATTGTAACCATCATTTTAGTTATATGTGTTTTGTATTTGCATATTTTGCTAAAACATATCAAAATATTTCAAAATGGGTTACAAGTGTATTCCGCCTTAGGATCGAACCGAGACAATCTCGAGCTTCTTATATTTGATTTTGAACTTTTAACCTTTATCGAGTTGAGTTCGTCAATTCATTAATATTAACAAGCTAAATTTGAACTTATTAAATTGAAATCAAACTTTAATGAACAAAGTCAGGACTCGTTAACAAGTTCCAGCTCTTCAAGTTTATTAGATATTCTCAATAGCTAAATCGAGACCCAAGCTAGAAATTGACCAAAATAGCGTAATATTTTATGAATTATATCCGAGATCTCATCAATTTAGTTTATGTAAGATATATTAAAAACTATTAATAGAAAAAATTACGCCCGAACTAAAAATTGACATTTTTATTACATTTTGATATGGATTACGCGGAATATAAGTTATAACCCATTTTAGATGATAGATAGGAGTAGCTTTTCTTGCTAATTTTGTAAAACATTTTATTCATACTATGGTTAGAGTTGAGCCGAGCTGCAACACTGGTTAGTTTAGGGTGGTAAACACCCACACTTTATTCGCATTCTCATGATCAAATTCATGGGCCAAAGAGTAATAACCCTCAACTTCCTGGATGGGCTGGGCTGGGCTGGGCTGAGCTTAATTGACTATTATAGTACACAACTCAGCTTAGGCCTGATTTAATATTTAAAAGCCCTTTTGAAGGTCCAAACACAAAAAGACTAATTCAGCCCGTAGGATAATGCACAACACAAAAGGCCCGAACATCTAGAGGTGTTGCAATAAACGAGAGATACTTGTGACAAACAATATCTAATATAATATGTGCAAATTTTCTTGCTTCCAATTAAAAAAAAAAGCTAAAAAAGATCAAAGAATACAAGGAAAAAAAACTTACTAATAACAAAAGGGACATTTAAGATCAATTTTGTCTCCCAGTAGATGTTATGAGCTACATCTTATCAACAAAAGGGCCTTAAAGCAAATGAATAAAGCTCAAGCTTGTTTATACCAATTNAAAATGAGTTTTTGTGTTTTGTGTAATGTATTATCATCAAATACTACTCACATAATCTGTTGTTCGGAAAATCCTGTATGCAGTTTAAGTGTCTCGGTCCAAAACGGTGCCTTGTTCATTGTACGCCTGGCAGCATACACAGCCGAGGCAGCAATCATTGATGGGCTGTAAACGAGCGTCTCGTAATTCATCATCCCGAGCTCGGCTAGAAAATACACCAAATTCTCCACCTGCATTTGTTATAGTAACAATTCAAGAATTTGGTATAGCCCAAGTGAAAATTTTGCAGCCCCACAAAAAAAAAAAGGAAAATAAAAAAAACTCACTTTCGAGTCGGTTAGAGAGGCCTTGACGAAACGCACAAGAAAAACGTACGGTGTGGGCACTGTTAAACTCCACTGTAACTCACCCAATATTTGCTTCTCCATTACCAAGATTTGTTTGTTGGTGTATGTATCGTCTGAAATGGACACTAATTCATCGACCTGCAAAGGAAAAAACACACTTAACAAATAAATAAACACTTTTTGTACTTTTGTTAATGATGAAGAAGTTAAAAGAACACTTTTTTACCTCAGGGGCCCAAATTTCTTCATACTTTGAGGCAATTAGCATTGAATTTGAACCCAAGAACACTTTTTGTACTTTTGATGATGATAAAGAAGTTTAAGAACATTTTGGATGGATGTTAAATGAATTTTACCTCAGGGGCCCAAATTTCTTCATACTTTGAGGCAATCAGCATTGAACCCAAGCCCACTAACTGCAACTCCATTCTTGAGGTGGCCTTTCCCGCCAAATATCGATCGAGGATATTGACAGTGAGGTAAAAAGTCTCGGGCGAGAGCTCGAATTTGCTGTGGACTTGAACTAGCCAGTCGATTAGGATTGCACGCATTTTCTTGTTTATCTCGGGCTGCGAGTCCATGTAGTCTTGAGCTCGGCCTTCGTTCTGCGCTCGACAAGCAAGAAAAAGATTAAAAAAAAGAAAAGAAAAAAAAAACCACTTAGCAAGCAAAATTTGCATTATTTGAAAAACAACCTCAGCCGATTTGTAGAACTTGTACATGTCCTCGACATATTCAACAGCAGCAAGGTCATTATTCATGTCCTCAGCATCAATATCTACTACGATTTGCTCCTTGGGTTTATTATTATTATAACTCAGCCCACAAGCAGCAGCCTATATAATAAAAATCGAATATAACCAATAATAAGAAAGAGGGGGAAAGAACAAATTCCACTAAAATTTAATCAATTGCCTTTTTTTTGTTACCTTGCTCCTTGCACTGAGAGTTGAAGTGAGGGTTGGAGCTTTCTTTTTCGACGATTTTTTCGCGGGATTTTCTTCCTTGTTGGCCTCTGCTGCAACTCTTTCAACTGTGTCGGGACTTATTTCGATTATCTCCTCAGGCTTAGGCTTAGTTGTGGCGGCTTTCTTACGAGTCGGCTTATGATCCACGGCTCTTTTCTGTGGCAATTAGAGCAAAAGATGTAAAAAAATGCCAAAAGCAAAGGACTCTAAAAAACAAGAACACAATTTCGAGGAAATAAACCTTGTTTTCGGCCGGCACATTTTGTGCATTTGCCCTGAAAAAACAAACAAACAACGAATCAACCGTTTGCAGACAAAAGATTCAATTTTTTTCATTCACTCCAATTAAATTCGACACAAATTTGCTTTTTTATTTGTTCAAATACCTCGTAATAGGACGAGGAACCTGGGAAAGGGGCTTCCCCTCGACCCCACGAACAGCAACAACATTGCCTATGTCCCCAAGTGCACGACGATTCTTCTTTTCTGCTGCTACCATGTTTTTCTGCTTATTAGCCCCAGGGACTATCTCTCCTGCTAGTTGAAAACCAATAACCAACATAAACACATAAAAATTAGAGAAATTTAATCCAAAATAATCAAGAAGCCATTGGTTTCATCGAGCGAGAGGACAAGGGATCCAATCCGATTAGCATAAGAGCATATAAAAAGCAAAAATCAAACAGAGATAAAGCAATCCAATAACCAACATCAACCCAAAATAACCAACATAAAAACATAAAAGGAGAGAAATTTAATCCAAAATAATCAAGAAGCCACTGGTTTCAATGTATTAAAAATCAAGCGACAGCACATAGGAATCCGATTAGCATAAGTGCATACCAAAAACAAAAAATAACAAACAGAGACAAAGATCAAGAACAAGGAAAAAAATCTGAACAAATGTATTAAGAATCAAATACCTAGCTTGAAGACAATCATACGAAAACCCGAAATTCCATAACAAACAACATAAAACCCATTAATCTAATTCCATTGTCATCCAAAAATCGAAACAAATCGTGAAATTTTCAACCCACCATCGCCAATAAAAAAAAACGCAGAAAACGAACGAAAGAGAGATTGCTAGAGAGCCAGTAGATAGTACCTCCGTTGTGCTGTTGAACCGCATGTCTCGACGCCATTAGATCAAACCGTGCGATAATATCTAAAACCCTTTTTCCTTTTTGAATTTTTTTGTGTTTTCTTCGTAGTTTTTATTGAGGGTTTCTAATGGAAAATGCGCAAGCCAAATTTTGGGGAAAACCAAAATGAAAAGACGCCTTTTTTTAAGCTGAAAAAGAGCAGCGCTTACTTTCACAACGGTCGAATTTTCGTCAACTTTCAACCGTCCGATGGATTTGAGATCCAACGGTGGTGATTGCTGCAAATGAGACTGACGGTGAATAGTTACCGTTATACTAATTTTTTTTTTTCTTTCTTTTTTTTTACCGTTATACTAAATTTAAGTTTATTTACTTGCGTAAACTAATTTTCTCTTTTCTTTTCAGTAGTATAATGAGATTAAAAAGACGGAAAAAATAAAAATGTTGGTTCTATCCCAAACCTAAAAGCGAGTCTAGGGTCCATCTGTGCAATTTAGTTAATTTTTCTATATGTTCATCTTTTTTACGTTGGATTCTCTTATAGTTTTGTTTTAAAAAAAAATACATAAATATGCATTTTGTCACTTTATATTAGCTATAATGATTTTGGTCAACCACATATGGGTTATTGCTTCAATTTTAAATATGACATTTAAATATAAAAATATATATTTATTGAAAAATATAGTTGTCGAGTCATTAGTCACAGTGGTTGCTTCAATTTTAAAGTATGACATTGGAATATAAAAATATATATATTTATTGAAAAATATAATTGTCGAATCATTAGTCAGAATGTAATAAGTTACTGATACAGCTGCAAATCAGCCAACAACGAAAGATTAGCAAAATAAATATGTTCTTACAACCAAATGACTTAGGCAAACCCAAAAAAACCATGCCTAGAGCAAATGCAACCAACTACAAACAAAGAAGGCCAAGATTGGGATTACAAAGGCAAATCAAATCCAATAATTTTTCACACAAACACAAACCAAAATCAAAAGCTCACACTTAGGAAAGAAGCTCGAAAATCTACCGCCATTAGTCGAAAACTACGATGTCAGTCTTTACAGCAAAGCGTCGTCATCTGGACCCGCGAGCAAGACCTGCTCGTTTCATAGTCCTGTCAGAAATGTTCAAGCGAAATTTTTTTTTGGCAAAAATGCATTTTTAGTCTTGTTGGTTTAACCTCATAGCAATTTTAGTTCAAATATTCCAACTTTGCGCATTTTAGTCCTGTGATTTAATATTTTGCTGCAATTCTAGTCCTTAGAGGACTAAAATTTCAACAAATTTTTAAATTACATGACTTAAATTGTTAATCGAAATTTGAGAATCTGGGAATTTGTTGAGATTTCAGCGAAATTGCAGCAAAATATTAAATCATATGACCAAAAGGCGAAATGTTGGAACCTTGGGACTAAAATTGCTGTGACATTAAACCAGCAAGACTACAAATGGAATTTCCCAATTTTTTTACATAATATCTTGTGTAACTATATCTCTAAAAGTACACTTGTCGAGTTTTAGATGCATCTTCAAAGTTGAATCTACTTACATTCGAGTCGGAAGCATATTTTCTGGCGAGGACGAGTGCCCCGTTTCTTTCTCGCTCGGACTCAAAAACGAGCACAAATGACTGCCCTTTTCGTGACTGCCAAAACAGTGACTTGGCTGCCGAGTTGCCGCCTCCTCTAAATCCACATAGCTGAAACCGATTTTTTTTTTATTATTTTAAAATTTTAATTTCTTGATATATATATATATATAAACATTTATCACACAAAATGTCACATCCTATGAAATAAAGTGATGTTACAAACAAAAATAACATGACATTATTTTTTACAAAAATTATGACGAGAAAAAGCCAAATAAGAACAATGTCGATCAAAGTCAAAAGTTACTCGGAATTTTGGAATAATTTATTACCTGCATGGATTTAGAATAAGATTCCCTGCCTTTTGTGATCCATCCTCGGCTAAGCTTTATCTTTGTTTTCGCAATATGCAACAAGTGAGACGAGTGTGACGAATAATTACGCCCATTCATTTGGGATATAACGACCTGTAATATTGGAAAATTTTATTAGGATCAACAAGTAGATATTTCCAAGATTAAATTTTAGGCAACATTGCATTTTAGTTTGTTGTTTAACGCTATTGCAATTTTAGTCCCAAGTTTCCATCGTTTTGCTTTTTGGTTCAGTGATTTAATATTTTGCTGAGGACTGAAATTCAACAAATACCCAAATTCCCAGATTTTCGATTAGCAATTTAAGTCATTTGCAATTTCTGTCCTCAAATGACTGAAATTGCAGCAAAATATTAAATCCATGACCAAAAGGCGAAAAGTTAGAATCTTGGGACTAAAATTGCAAACCAACAAGACTAAAAATACATTTTTGCCTTAATTTTATGCATACAAGTAAAGAAAAACAATGCTTCGGCAACTATGAAGATCATATTATTTTTGAATTATCCATAAAAATATGCAATACTTGTCAATCAAGCATGAAAGAATATGGTGACGTACGCTGAAGTCATTGCTCGATTTTTGGNCAAACCTTGCTGAATCGGGCCATTAGAAGTGAGGGTAATCTTCAGCCCGTTCGAAACTATATCAGCTTGCAGAACTCGCCCGACATCAATGGGCTCCGGAGCATAAACACATTTGTTTGCACCTTGAAAAAAAAAAAAATATTAGTTTTATTTAGAAAAAAGGATGGAAAAAAATAATTACACAATACATATTGAAGAAAAATGAGAATTTTAATATTTTATACCTAAAATGGGTTCCCTTCGGCTGCATTGAGATGACAATCGGTACCATTGGATCGAACATTTCCCGAGCTCTACTGCTTCATCCGAACAGGTTTGAATCCGTAAAATCAAACCTAAATTCTCAGCTCCTTTTAACACATAATGTCGAGATACATTTTCCTCAGCTTGCGCACTCATTGCCAGCTGTAAAAACGAACATGAACTTATTCTAAGTCATCATACACTAAAAACTATCTCCACAGAAAGAGTAAATTAATTGTATTTCACTTTATAATAAAATAGCTGAGACCTCGTTTTGAAGCTGAAGTGAAATTGTACACTTCTCTCGGATTTGAACCCTCAGGTCTCGAAGTTCATTCTCCATATCCGCAACCTGCAAAAAAAAATGAATAGAAAACGCAAATAAATGTAAAATTACAAAGCAGAAACTGTAATGTACAAAAGACAAACAGTAGAATCTCAATTCAACCTTCCGAGGCTGGTGCATCAATTTGATTCTTCGAGCCTCTTGAACCTCCTCGATTAGCCCCTCGAGTTCCTATTTTTTACATTAAGAGAGTAAAAAAAAGATGATGCAACTAAAAAATGGAGAAACAAATAGAATAGCACACGAGCAAATTTGCGCAAAGAAATAGAAAATAAAAAAAAATTAGAGAGAAGAAGAAAGAAAGAAAGTTTATGTATATAATATATATATATATATATATATATACACCTGCTGCTTGCCTGAGCTCTGATTTCTTTCTTGTTCTTCTAAAGCCTCCCCAATCCTCTGCACAACGGCTCGTGCACTCTCAATCTCGGCACAAGCAAAAGACTTTTCTTGATTGACCAATTTTTTAGCATCTTCAGAAGCCTGAACAAGAAAAAGAAAAAGTCCAAGTTTATCTAATAACACCACAAAGAGGAAAAAAATAAAAGAGAAAAAGACAATACACAGAGAAAATCCCAGTTCGAATACCTGCTTGAGAAAATTAACTAGCTTTTTCACTTCAAACTTCTCTTGAATCAACTCGCCTTCCTTTTGAGTCAGCTTCACCGCCAAAGCTTCAACCTGCACGTAAGTCGCAAATACTTTAACAAAGCAAAAAAATAAATAAGCAGGAAAAAAAAATCAAAATTAAGCTGGAAGAAGTAAGTTGAAGTAGGTTTTTAACTTTTTACCATTGAAATAGCTCTCTCAACGTCTTCTTTGTTTCGACCAGCCAACCTTAATTTCAGACATTCAAGTGCGTCCCTAAGCTTTTTTAGAAGCACGTGTCCATCCAAAGATGCTACCTCTTTAAGTTTGGCCTGCAAATTTTATCACAAGAAAGAACTGATAAAAAAAAACTGATACGAAAGGCCTCATATACAGTTTTTAGGGATAATTTACAGAAGATGCCCCTCACATTTTAGCCAGATAAGAGAAAAAAACTATCTTGTGAGATTTCCTATTACCCCTTTAAGTTTTACAAGAAGCTTTATCAAAGTCTGTATTTAGCTAAACAAATGCACCCCGCTTGAGGGCATAAGGTGTGATTGGATATAAATTCAATAAAAAAAAAAAATCAAAACTCAAATTTAACTCCACTCCACTATCATCAATATTATCAATATAATTAAATAATATCAATCAATCATTCTTACACATCACATCAACTTTAATTTACTGTTCATCTACTCACGTAATTTTAATTGATCATCACTTCACGTCATCTCTCTCTTACTTTCACATCAAATCAACTTTTATTATTTTATTTCAAATATTATTTTAATTTAAACTTAAATTCCCACTAACAATTAACTATAACCTTTTTCAAAATTAACTGTTGTTTACAAAAAAAATAAATTAAAAACCAGTCAAATCCATATGCAATCACACCCTAAATTGTATGAAAACCGAATAACTGTTGTTATATGTAATTTCAAAACATAAATTGATTCGTTAGTAATTAAGCTAAAACTCGAGGGTAGCTTTTTACAGCTAACACAATGGCTAACAAGAAGCTCACTCTCCACATATCAACCGAAAATATAAAGAACACACGCAATACAAATGGATTATTAGGGATTATTAGCATTAAGAAGAACCTCGTCGGACAATTTTGCTGCTGAGGCCAAATTCTTGTCAAATTTACTCGCCAGGTCCCGAACAGAAAGGCGCCTATGTTGTTCAGTCAACTGGTTTGTTTCTTCAAGAACAACTTCTTTCAAGGGTGGACCTTTAAAGTCCTCTTTAATCTCCTCTAAAATCTCATTGTTGGGTCCTAACTTGTACTTAGGGAACTTTTCTGTCTGAAAGCTGACATCAGCAGACACCGGCCAAACTTCCCCGAATTCAGGACTGACCCTCGTCATCGGCCCAAATTTATTTCTGTTAAGATTTAAAGGTGTAATTAAGACCTAACATATGTTTGTTATATACAAAAAAAACAAAAGAAAATGCAACGACTCATAAGAGATTGGGAAAAATGGGGATGGATCTCAACTCCAGAATAAGCATTTAAGAAAGAAAAGAGGATAAAAATTATTAACAAAAACCCAATTATTTAACAAAAATCATGTCAATCTCATTCACGCTGCAGAATTTCACAAAAGCATCAGATTACTACTAAAAGCATCAAATGGCACCAATTCCAGTTAATGCGTACACGATTCAATTTCACAGAGCAGGTTTAGAAAAGCCAAGATTTAAATAAAAATAATTTTAAATCAGAATAATTTATCAGCTGAGGAAAAATTGTGAAATCAAGAATTCACCAACTGATGTCTCAGAATGAAATTTCACCTTTGTTACCTCAATCTTGCTCTGGGATTACAGATGCAATTTTTAGCTGTCTACTATCAAAAACAAAATAAATACACAAATATATATATTCAGTAATAAATATAAAACAAAAAAGGGGCTTGCCAATGACAATGTAAACTATCAAACTATCATAGCATTTTCCCAGAATATAACAAAATAAAACATTTTTCGAGGAGGGTTTGTTCTGCAGTATCAAATGTGCACAAAGATCTGTCCAAAAACTGCTTCCTCACAACTTAGCAGCTAAAATCAATGGAAGATGGAAAGAACCAAACTAAAAATCTGGTCTAGGAAAAAACACAAGCAAGAAAATCAAAAAATTTGTAACAGAACCAAACACCCAAACACCAAAAAGAACAAAAAAAACAACCTGAAGCATTGAGCTTGAAGAAAAGTACCTACTTACTGTAGATTATTGCAAGACAGTTCGTTCAAACAAAAAGTCGGCACATATTCAAATTCCTTTAGTATTTATGTTCCTAAAGAATCATTTTTTTCCAACAATTAGAGAGAAAGGGGGAAAAGGGTACAAAAATAAAATATATGGACTGTGTAAAAACAAGAAGCATAAGAAAGAAGAATAAGAGATCCATACCATGAGCCACCCAAAAGAAAGGGTTTTTGAAGGGGAATCTGAGATGAATGTGAAATGTCTGTCCTCTTTTTCTAAAGCAGAAACAAGAGAAAAAAACTTCTCTTCTTCACTCCCCGCCACAAGATTTAACTGACACCATTGCTGGTTTCTTATTATTGTGTTTGTGCTCTTCTTCTTTTTTTCCCCAACTCAGTGAATTCGCCTTTTGGGTTCTTCTATTGTTACAAGTTTCACATTTTTTTTAGCATTTACAGACCATTGAATAGACGGAAATACCCTTTACTTCTAACATAATGATTTTCTTCCCAAGAGGTGGTGGTTTTGTTTGTAATGATTCCAAGATTGATTAAAGAACCAACTTTTTTTTTAAATAAAAACCAAATATGTAACTAATTACTTATTGTCAAAACTGAAAAATAAAAAAATATATATGTTATTATTGGCAATTGTATTACTATACCAGTCATTTATTGCAACGAAATAAGTGTTAAATAAAATAACTTCTTAATGAGTGTAGGTTTAATTTTTTACCGTTCTTTCATTTTATTATGCACAATAACATTTTCAACCTACCAACATAGAATAAACAAAACTTCAAGGTAAGACATTATTTTAGTGGGTGTTTGTTTTTGTGTTATTATGTTTGGTTGTTTTGATTTGTTATTCTCCATTGTTGCATATTTATTTTGTCGTGATAGTTGTGGTGGCTATTCTTTTTAGTGTTATAATATATGCACTGATGTTGAAGTTAGCCGTCTGTGTGCAACTTCTCTTGTTTTAGTTGTTTGATTCATTTGTCTTAAGTATATACAATTATCTATTTTATTGACATTTGTCGTTTGAAGACGAAAAAAAAAACATATAATACATATAAAAGAAAATTTAAACATATTTATAGCAAGAAACTTGTAATAAAGCATCATTTCAATAAATTATTGAAAATATAATCTACCAATTACATAACTGATAACTCTCATTTAGTTTCATACTTACTAAGCCCCCGTAAAATCACGGCCAAAATAATGAGAATCTTTTCACAAGTATTGACTAATAAAAAAAAAGGAAATGAAAATTAATCAAAGGATCTCTTTATATTTCTGACTAGAGGGCACTATCGTCATCTTACAAGAACTAGGAGCGCGAGAAGTGGTTTTTGTAGTGCGTCGCTAGCCATATATAAGCATGTCTGTAAAAAACCAAAAAATAAATAAATAAATAATTTTATCATTTAAAAAAAAAAAAATCACAATTACGCTCAAAGAAAAAGAGCCCGAAAAAAACAAGGGAATGACTATCTTCATTCAGACCATTCACGCGCTGTCCCCACTCGCTTTCAGTAACATGCAAGCTTTTACAGCATGCAGAGCAGAGGCGCTACAGTATAATCTATGGGTTTGATGGCGCGTGAGTCTTGCGCGTGGTGGCGGCATTTTTTGCGGTTCGGCGGCCTGTTTCCCAAATTTAGACATCACTCATGAGATTATTCACGAGGTTGCCATCGGCAAAATGAGTCAAAAATTTGACGGGTCGTTGTGTCCTTTTGATGATGACCTGCGACTACGACAGCCTTCGATGTCTCCGAGAACATAGATCCGCCTGTCACGTGAGTCGGCACGTGCGTGTACAGTAAATATGCTGTACACTTTTTTTCCCGTTTTTTTATTCTTTATTTTAACTTACAATTGGATATGAAAAGAATAAATGATAAGAGTCGAGCCGAGATTGAGTATTACGAGCTCGAGTTTATTTTGGTTCGACTCGTATGCGACTTGCGAGCTCTTCTTACAAGAACACATTTTAGTATTTTACCAATTTTGTTCCCAAAAAATCGAGCCTTCTGCAGAAAAAGGAAAAAATTGAATTGCGTCAATAATTAAAAGTACAAGTATTAAAGTTTAAATATAATATCGATATTAAACTACAATTGTAGTATCAAATTACATCAAAATTTACATTTGTGGGTGAATAGAATAGTAATAGATACAAATAACATCTAAAACATGAAAATTTTCAACATATCTCACAGTTGTCGAGTTTTTTATCGATTGCATAGAAATTGAATATTCTCAAAACATTTAACTCATATGTGAGTTCTTAACACACCAGAATAAATTAAATCATGAGTTCACAAAAGCACAATTAGAAGTCGTAATTGCTTAATTATCACAATTTTTTTCTAAGCCAAGTCTTAATTATGATAGTCGTTTGAAGACAGCCAATTTTCATGAAAAGGGGGGCATATATACAATTATGTAATTATGAATAATTAGAAAAACATCGACAATAAGCTAGATTCCTGGATTTTTTTTTATGAGTGACTTAAAGAATTAGAAGGGTTTTGTGGGGTTTATGATGTGTTGTCCTAATGATGGTTTGATGGACAAACTTTGGGTTAAATCACAAAAAGAAGTTTACATAAAATGTGGGGTGGGTTTATTTATTTATTGGTGGCTTACCAAAAACTTAAATGCCTTTTATGATTAGGTTAGTTAGTAGTTGAGCTTTGTGGATCTTGAAGGGTGTGACAAAGGAATATTTGAGGGATTTTTGGGTTTAGTTTTGTTAAATTTGTGACGGAGGAAAAAAAAATGTTTATCTGTATTATTCACAAAGACATGTATATATACTATATATAAATACATAAATGTGTTTTAATTTTAAGTTGGACCTAAACTTAACATATAATACAACAACGCACTTTATATAACTAACAAAATTTATATATCATAAGTT